TTTACAGCAAAGATTAGACTGGAAGTATTGGCAAATTCTGGAAGAGGTCAAGTTATTAGATGTTGATCTCAAAGCACAATGCACTCTCAGGCTGAATTATGGCATCATTCCAATGCTTAAATAAACCTAGGCAAAGGCTCTTATCTCAAAATCTCCTGGACTCCATAGGGTACAGCTGGTGCTGCTCAAATAGGATTACCAATGTACAGGACGACAGAAATGTAGCATTTCACCATCCCTTTGTTGTCATGCACTTCACTTGGGGATCTCATGGATTTAATGGCTGCTTCAGAATCCAGAACTGAATGAACAGAGTTGGAGGAGGGCCCCCTCCCTGCAAGCTCCTCAAGACTGATCTCTCCAAACTCTAATTTTCATCCCTCTCCTTCTCCTGCTTGGAAGAGAAGTCTTCAGTGAGGTGGGAAGAGACCATTAAGGCTATATGGACTTTTGCTTGGTTAATAGGTTTTGGTTGCAAATCTGGTGTGGGTCATGTACAGGAACTAAGTTTTATGTAGCTAACATATAAAATGTGCAGCAAAATATTTTCACTTTTTAGCAGAAGTAACCTTTTAGCAGTTTTGCTTCCCTGCATATCATTTGCCATCAGTCCATTTTTTTCCATTTCTCTTTTCATAACTGCCACCCAAAATTCTAATGGCACTAAGTTTACTCAGTCCTCATTATTTTGGGGGTGGGAGTGGAGGTGATAGGGACTTTTCTACCTTAAAATCATTTTTTCCAAAGTATCTGCAAGCCTTGAGGTTCGTGATAGCACCTAATTTTGTTCCTCCCATTTTGATTCTGGTTGATCTAAGTTGGCTCTTATAAGTGGCCATGAATGAGATGTGTTCCTTTCCACATGCACTTGCCACATGCACAGTGCCAAAATGTGCCCATGTGTAAGATACATAATAATTGTTTGATTCCCATTAATATCTTTAAGACTTCAAAGAGGACATTCCTAGTGGACTGCATGGCTGATATCTGACAGTAGCATTTTTATCAAACCACCATTATGATTAGATTGTCTCATGAAGTGTGTTTAGGGTATAATTGGCAAGCAGTGATGCACAAAATTGCGCATGCATAGAAAACAGGAATTTTGACACAGTGACTCTTCCTTCTCTCCTTCCACTTTCCAAAAATATAAATAAAATGTACCCATCACTTCAGCTGGGAACATGTTGCAGTGTGCTGTGCAAGCAAGTTCATCATCAGACTTCTGAAACACCCTAAGTTTGTTGAGGTAATGCGCCATTCTTTCCCCATTGCAGTGCTCCCATGTATGCCTGTCACAAACTTGAACTGGGAATCTCAGCAGAAATTTAGATTAGGAAACATCATGATCGGCATATGTTCAGGGTTCAGAGTAGGAGCAAAAGATAAAACAAGGTGTACACGATTGTCAATTTCCTGACAGAATGCCAGTCCTGGATTGGGATCTACTAGTGTAAAAGCAAAGGCCCTGATTTTCTGTCTCCCTTGATGGCCAGCCTTACACTTTTATCCCCACAGAAACACACCCATATTCAGGCATGATTGTGATGGAAGGTATCTACGAAGAGGAGGGTGATGTGAAAGATCAAGGCTATCAGGAGGGAGGGGGTGCATTCCCGAAGGAGAAAGGAGACAAAAGACAACACAGTCCACAGGGGGAGTGTGGGAAGCGAAAGAGGTTCAGGACAGCCACTCCCTAGAATCTCCCAGGTTATATCCACTTGTTTCAGCAGTATAGATTGAGTCTGGCAAGACTCTGTCTATAAGGTGTAAGCAAATGAAGGAACTTGACTCAACTGGGCTGTTTCACCATTGTTCTTGGGCTGGGCCTGACAATGATGGACAGTAATAGCCTTTCAAAATTCTCCATCCAAATTTGGGGTAGGGCAATTGGGTGGGCAATTGCTTCCAATTTCTTGAAGGGAAGGAAGGCTTTCCCAGTCAGTCAGTGTTGGGCTTCAGGGTTTAGTGACCATGGTATAGACAACACATTTCCTGATGTTTTGCTGGCAGCTGTGGCTGGTGTCTTCAGAGGCAAGTGGTCTGCTAGGCAGGCTACAGGCCACTGAGCAGGGACTGACTGGGCTCCTCTCTTTATAGCCAGGTGTCCTGATTCTGACTGCTCTTTAGCTGAGCTGGTTTCTGATTGGTGCAGGTCTCAAAGACCAGCCCTCACCAACCTGTAGCAGACCACCTTGCCTCTGTTGTCTAGACCATGGCCACTAAATCATGAAGCCCAACACTGCCCAACAGATTCTGGCTGTGAAAGCCTACACCAATTTTCTAGTCACCTCTTAAGGCCAGACCCTCCCCTTAGCAATGACAGGAACACTGCAACTGAAAAAGGCCACAGTTTTGTCATGATGCCTTCTCTTGGGGTTGCGAGGTAGTGTGAAAAGCCAGGGAGGCTGCAGGCTGGTGGAGAGAGGATTGTGTAATGAAAAGCAGGACACTTTCACACATGCAAATCCCTTGACTACTTAAATTAAATTAAATTAAATTAAATTAAATTAAATTAAATTGTTGGAAGGATGAGAATTCCTTTATCATTTTCTTCTCCTTTGAATGAAATCAGAAAGCAAGTTCTCTTTCCTCAAACTGAATAAGAACTGGTATTTAAAATACAGGTTATCTTTTTCTGCATAGCATTTGCAGAACTACCAGTTCAGCCACAAAGTTTGTGGGGTAACCTTGAGCCAACTGCACTCTCCTGGCTTAACCTACTGCACAAGCTTGTTGAGAGGATAAAAGGAAGAGGAAAGAACATTTAAAAAACAATTAAAAATCATAGTCTCAGTGCCGAGGGTAAGGGAACAATGACTGATCTAAACACATTATTTCCCCAACTTCCTAATTCTTTTCAATTGGCCAAATATTGCAAAACCTTAAATTTTGGACTGATTTGCTAAATCCTACCGAACAATTTGCTGACTCCTACAGGTTCTAGGGTGGGGGGAAAAACCCTCTCCCTCTGCTTCTTTTATTTCCTCACCTTCCTGTTCAAGGAAAATGTATGAGATCACTGACTTTTATATAGTCAAAAGCTATCCTTGTTTCTTCGTATTTACTCAAAGTGAGCTGTAAATCAAACACTGGATTGCCATCTCCCTAAGTTATTTGCATGGGAACAAGGGGGAGCTGGGGAAAAATTGCTCTTTCATCCCAGCGTGTTAGATTAGATTAGCATTATTCTTTATTATATCAGTGTTCTTCCACCCTAGCTTTCAAGTTTGTGATTGCTTTTCTTGCTTGGGATTTGTTTATACATAATGCCCTATTACTGGCTGTGAGATTTTTCATACCAGACAGTCTGTAACTGAAATACAAGGAAATACATTTGAAAAGTAATCATTTTTTCTGAAGTTGATACACCAGCTGCCACTGACGTGCCACTCTCAGAATCAATGTTCTTGCATGCTGTTCCAAACTTGGGAAGGATTGCCCCCAAATGAACCAAACAATGACAAGTGGTCACCATCTCTGGGCAGCTACTTGGAGCCTCCCAAAATAGCCCCAAGTAATAATCTCAACTGATTCTGGCCCTGAGTTCTACCTGTTGTTGTTACTTGAATAAGAAATCAAGTCAGCACCAGAAAGGACCAGGTTTCCTTTCAATTTCCTTTCTCTTCTGTTAGAGCCTTTCAATTTTCCACAGCATCTTCAGTCGGTAGTGATGTAAAAGAAATCCAACACAGCTTTCAATGGGAGAAGATGTATGAGAATCACCCAAACAGTCTTGACAGCTGCAGAGAAGGCTGCACTAAGCAGGCTTTTCTAGTGTCCTTTATTTATGAGAGATGGGTTTGGAAAAGAATTGGTTATTGAAATTTGCATCCAGAAAGGGTAGTTACATTTTAAAGATACTGATGCTGAGAATCTTCATATGGCAAAGGGTGGCATGAGTGAAAGTTGCCTTTCCAAAAGGTTTCTCGGGGAATTCTCATTAACAATATTGTGGGGAAAGTTGTATCTGTTTCCTCCTTCTGCTAGGGAAAGCTTCCAGCAAACTGGGGAAAGAGCAGGAAATTGTCACTTGGAGTTCTTAGATTTTTGAGGTCTGAAATACTTGATTTATTTACTTTCTAAGTGGGACCGAACATTACAAATCCCCTATGCCTTTTGGTTATTTCCAAATTTACTATATTACTTTCTTTTGTATCTTTCCACGGTGTTGCACATGTGTGTATTGATACAGTACTGCCAAAAAAGCAATCTCAATATGATTGCATACACTGTCACTCAAGGGTGTGTGTTTGTGTGTGTATGTGGTATTTTACTGATGTGGAAACATGCATTAGAGAAAAATGTGGTGGAATCTTTTGGAGGAGGAAAAGATGCGAAGAAACTGAAACATTGGAAGGGGTAGTCTACGCACATGATCAAATCTCAGAATTTTAGAAATTTCTGTAGTTAAACTAGAATCCATGAAATAATAAGGGGTCAGAAGAGGGGAAAATTGCACATATGCAGTGTAAATATGAACAAATGCAGTGACCAGTATGAAAACTTTATTTTTATAGTGGCAAATAACTGCAAAGTTTTCAGATGCCTTTTTCTGGTATGACGCTTGGTGAAGACGACTATTTCAGTGGGAAACCTACTGAACTTGCATCCTGACCACCAATAATATCATGCTAGTTAATACGCTCCCCAGATGCATATTATTAGCCTAACAGTCTATGCTTGTATATGTTCATAGCAGACAATGATCTAGAAGGAAGGGGGAAATGCTCGAATGTATTTGCAAAGGTTTCCTTACAGCTGGTCACCCGGAGGAAAAATCTGACTTGCCATAGGCCACTATATACAAACCTGAAAAATGCATTAAGCTGTTGGAATGTTGCAGCCAGACATATGATGGAGTTAAAGACACACCCTTTCCCTTCTTGTCCCCTGCTTCATCCCTTCACATATCCCTCATCCTCCCTCCCTGCTTTTCTTCTCTGTTGTTTATTTCCCTCCTCCCCAATTTCCCCTTGTCTTCACCCATTTACTGTCAGGAAGTACCGCATCCGAAGGGCTATTACAGCACAACGTGGCAGCAGCAGAGACTAACAGCAATGGCAGCTACAACAGTGAGTGGATTTTGACTCTGGGGGTGGGGGGATAGTTATTTGATGAGAACCAAGCGAGTGGGAGTGGGGCTGGATTAACAGCGAGGCTCGGCATGCTGCAGATCAGGACCTTGGGTAGACTGAGAATCCAACAGACTGCATTTATTTAGAAATGCTGCTATGATCTGTCCCCCCCACACACACACACACACCTCCTTTAAAGAGAACGATGCAGTTGTCTCTGAAGCATTATCCATACCATTTTGCTCAACGTAAAGGACTTCACCCAGAAAAATGACTAGCTACACTTCAGGATTCTATCTAGTTACCCATCTCTGTTTCTGTCATCTTGGCTCTGGGTTTTTCTCTTCCTGGGCTCCCCCATCCCAGTTCTTTTGTGCCTTTTCCTTTTCTAGACCTTCTTTTTGTGACACTGGCTGAGCTACACCACCCAATATTTCACTATAGCCATTAGAGAAGGCATCAGAAGCCAAAGGTAAAAGAACCACTTGAACAGTTTGGTTCAGTTCTTGGCATCTCCAGGTAAATAAAAAATACAAAGTCAAGTTAAGCATGCCAATCAGGTAGGGATCAGACCTATGCTTGGGCGCCCTACCAACCCAAGTAAACAAGTCTATCCTGCTGAAAGGCGGGCTTCTTTTGTTCTTATCCAAACTCTGACTGTTCGGTGGTCCTTAGTCCAGTCCTTTCCAGTTTGACCTTGACTAAATACAATTTCTTGTTTCAAGGCCCTGTCTATTTAAGGATCCCTCCACAATATAGCCACATTCCAGATGGTTTGATTCATCAAATGTCCATCTCACTTAAAAAGAAATCTGTTTTTATCACCAGTGTATAAAGTGTGTCTATAAAGTCTACAAGTACATCTATAAGTCTATAAAGTAGATCTATGAAGTCTATAAAGGACATCTTGCACAATTTATTTAAAAATATAGCAATCAAATAATGTTAACGTACTGAGATGATGGCAATTAAAGCAATTAAGCTGCAGTGGAGGAGGAACGGAAACTCTCCAAACTATCTGTCCATTCTTGTGGATGAATCAGTAAAATCGTACTGCCATGTTTTCAGAGACTAAGATCTTAATGTTTTAGAGCAGAGATGGACAATTTCCAGCAACTCAGAGGGAACACTGATTTTCTCAAGACATGTTGAGGGCCACAATGGGAAAGTGCAACGTCTTTGAGCCAAAACTCTCTGTTGATTGGAGATTTTGCACAACTCAAGGCACCCGTTTTTCCACCCGAAGGCCTGCCCCCAACCTCTTTTTCAAAACCTGAAGAGGTTGAACTGTTTGGCTCCACCCAGCATGAAGGAACTTTGGGAGTCAAAAAGAGAAGTGCTGGTAGAAATGGTTTATAGACTATGCTTTTTGCACATCTGTTTTAGGCAGATCTGCAGACTTATTTCAGAGCAAGGGTTAGTTGATATGACTGTAGGTCAGGTCCACGTGTCATGCTAAGCCATAGTGTGGTTTGCTTGGATTACTCCTGATATATAAACCCATATGATAAAGGTAAATTTGTAGCACAATTTGGACCAAGTGATTTCTTATTCATACTGGGAAGAAGGTGCTTAATGAGCACTTTTCTTGTATTGCTCAGGGAACAAGTAATTGAGTGGAGGAACATTTGCCATCCTTCTGTTTGGGTTCAGTTATGCCCACCCTCTTGATATTCTGATTTAGCTGCTAATCCAAAAAGTACAATGGGAAAACCACAGGGCCAGGTTGCAAAGATGTGTTTCCAAGAGGTATCCTTGGAGTACCTTAGCGGCTGTTTTCTTGGCTTTCTCATTCTTTGATTATCAGCTCTTGCTAGCTAATGAGGATACTGTGTCACTCAATAAATAAATACTTCAGCTTTTATTAATTCTTGTTTTGGAGATCAGATGCAAAATGTATGCTTTAACAAACTTCCATTCCTTTGCTGTCCTGCAAATAGCTGTCTGCAGCAAAGCAGCAATTTTTAAGTCAAGAGACCCAACTATTGGTGTGTATTTTTTTCCCCTCCAGGGGGGCGGGAATGAGGCCTTATGTATTTGCAAAGAGGTGACTGGAACAAAAATGTATAATGATCTCAATTATAACTTTTGATTTAAAAAATGGGACATGTCGAATGTATCTGGTTCACTAACTTGGCACTCATCTGTATCAAACGAGACACTTTTCTAGATTAAGTGCTTGTTTGCATTGTGAAGTGGTGTATCAAACCCTCCTTTGACAGCACCCAGGCTTGGAAAATGGACTGTGAACTGTTATTTTTAAATGTCAGAGAGCTGTATAATACCCTCATGAATATTTTGTAACAAATTATCAGGTATTATTAGACTATAATCTGAAAACCATTGCAGCAATTGCTTCATATATTAAAAGTATTTTGGGGAAAGCAACATGAGTGGACTTAATGTGCGTAAAAATATACTCATCATCCCAACAATTGTTAGCTTAGAAAAGATGGAAGATCAATATGGGAGCTAGGGTGGTATAATGGAAGGAAGTTTGGATAGGATCTGGGTTCAAATACTCAGTTTGGAAGCTCACTTGGTGTTCTTGGGATGATCTTCCCAGTAGGTTTGTTGAAGGATAAAATTTTGATCTTCTTCACATGGAGAGCGTCAAAAAAGGCAAGACGACCTAATTGAAGTTGCTTTGCAACCCTGACCCTTTTCTATTTGTGCATTGTGGTACCACTACTAGTATCCTGTGTTCTTTGAACCCCAGTGCAGATACCACTGAATTGGCGGGCAGGGGAATCTTTCAGTGCAACCTTGAATTATCGATTCAGTTTGGTAATTTTAGATTCAATGGTCTTGAGAGGAATAAACGCATTGCTGGGGAATGGCTGTTATTTACTTTACTTTAAAATGAAATGAGGCAGCTCTACTGTGTTTGGGGGGCTTTTTGTTAATTCTACTCCATTCCTGAGTGGAAGCCTGGATGTCTGCCCCCAAATACCACTGCCTTGAGTCCCTTGGAAAATGTGTAGAAAGTGAATTTGAAGATTATAGTTATGTTCATTGGCTTTGAATATCAAATGGGATAACATCTTCAGCTGAATCAAGGTACGGACAGACCATGAATTTCTGGCTAGTACATATCTGGGAGTGGGCACTAGGAATATATTTCAGTGTCAGTTTACCAAAAATGTTAGCCTGGCCCACACATGGACATACATGATTTCCTGGTATTTAATTAGTGAACATCTAATGACCAGGCTATTGGCAGGACAGTAAAAGTCTGCTTTGGAATGAACTCAGAAAATATTGAGGATCTTCTAGAGGCAGAGGCAACAACTATTCCCTTGCTCCTCCCCCCGCCAAAAACACCTAACATAGTCTACATTAACCTTTCTTTGATGTTGGGTGGTACAATGAATGGACCCTGGAGAAAAAGGAAAGGATACTTTTTCCCTTTGCTCTCCCATCTCCATCACCCTGGAGTAAGAAACAGTGGAAGATATTATAGCTGGATAAATTTCAGTTTGGGGATATGATTCCAAGGCAATTCAGTCAAACCAACTTTATGGTCAAACTAGATGCCTTCAAATAGATTTGGATGATTTGGACAACTCTTCAGACACAGAAAAATGCCGTTTCCCCCCAGATTGATTTAGAAATCCAAATTGAAATGAACCCAATTTGACCATTGGATTCAAATGTCCGAATCAAATCCAGCTGAGGCTGTTGAAGCCATTTCAATGTTTGAATTGTGTTGACTCTCTGAATCAAACTAAACCAGCAATTGAATTTAGATTTTTGCCTGATTTGCATAGCTCATAAATACATAGTTTGCCTGCTTCAAAACTTTCTCCTGAATATCACTGTGGTTGTTCTTATTGGTGTCAGGAGGCAGTGGAAATTGTCTTGGAGAGTAGAAACAGAGATTATTCCTTTTGAGCTCAGAGTCTGATTCAAGTGCTAGGAGAATTTCAGGGCCTTTACAGTTCTTCTCTTGCTTTGAGATAGACTTTATGACTCCCAGAACTTCATTTCCAGACCAGTTCCAAATTTGGAACAGCTAGTCTATTCACAGGAAAAGTATATAGTTTCTCAGGTTTGAATGCATGTCAAAATCATTTCTGAAAGTCATAGAATTAAATTAGTGTCTGGGAAAATGTAATTCCTATCTGTGGGATTACTTTTGTGATGTAACATACAAGTCAGCCTAACGTGCTGTGGCCATTTTAGTGGTGAACATACATGTGTGAATAAACACAGCTAATCATATCGTTGGAATCCTGTACTTCAGGTCTTAGCATTGAACCTGTCAATATCATCATTACTTTCAAGGATGTATATTCCTCCTTTTTTTTTTTTCCTTTTTTCCTTTTTTTCTTTCAATGAAAGGAAATGTTATAAAGATAGAATTGGGAGATTTATAGTACCCCATTTTTGTTCACAGAATTCTGTAGAGAGAATGAGGGGCTTATCCAACCCCTATCCTCTTCCCAGCAACATTCAGAAGGGGGGGGAAGTAAAAAAGAGGTAACCATGGAGTTCATATGGAGAATCCCTTTTGGCAAGCCTGATTAGAAATTTGTCTCTTCCTTGGAATCAGGATGGGATGATAGTTTAACTATTTGCCAGATAGTTAAACAACATGAATAACCACCTCTGGAGTTACTTTTGTTCCAGACAGTGCCAGGCTATACCGAAATAAAACTAGTTCTTTCTAGCTTAGTTAACTAGGCTAAGTATGTCACATCAGCATAATTAGATGCATCATTCTGTATTGTTCATATCTTTGAGCTTTGTAAGATGGCATTAGTCTTAAAAAAAAAAAAAAAGTTCTGACTCTATGTTTGATATGGATTGCAAAGGAGCCTGTCCCCTGATCCTCCAGAGAGATGTCAAGGCCCTTGAAGGTTATTAAAATGTCCAAGTCAAGAGGAGTTGAGCACGTTAAGAACTTAATTACCACTTCTGTTGCTGTGCTTCAGTGTCTAGTTGCGGCTGTAGTGGTGCAGTCAGAAATATTCAGATATTTACCCTGCAACTAT